ACTTAAAAGCTAGAGTTTTCATTAAAGCTAGGGTTTTTAGTATCGCTGCTAAAAAACCTCTTCTCTGTTCTTTTCCTTTTGTATCAATCAGGTTTGAAGGAAACAAGTTTTGGAGCAAAGAAAAAAAGAGAGGGTAAGGTGCGATTTTGAATTTTTGTTCAGTTTGTCTTCTACGAGATTTCATTATAAAATACAATCATTCTGGGCTTCGGGGAAGGTTTTTGTTGAGATATCATCCCGTTTAATCATGAATTGCGTTTAACTGTATTTCCTTTATTGTTTGATTGCGATTAACTTCTATTTCCTTTACGGTTTGATATCTCTCTTTCTATGCATATTTCCTTAGTTGATTGATATATATATAGATCTTTGTATTTGTAATTGTAATTGAGGCAAATTCGTTTCACAGCTTGCTATCACAATGATAAAATTCTTTTTCCACAGCTTGCACAATGATGATGAGACTTGGATCTGTTGTCAAAAGGTTTCGGTCTCACCAAAGACGCCAACTTCAGAGTGCTTCTGCTGCTATTCACTCGCAAAGAAGACAATCAAGCTTCTTAGATTCAATCACTTTTTCTGTCGTGAAAGTGCTTAGCATCACGCGATTAACAGATTCGTTGCATCCTTGGCGTTTTTCTGATGTTGAAGAAGGCAACGGTTCTGGGTTTTACTTAGTCTATAGATAAATTACGTTGAAATTGGGATTAAAGACTAGTCTATAACTTTTCTTTATTTAAATGTTTTATTATACTTATAATCATAGACTAGTCTATAGATAAAGCTAAATTAGGTTCTATTACTATCTCAATAATCTCATGATTAATATTATTAACTAGTTCCTTCATGATTTATAGGTGGCGACAGCATCTCCATCACCAGTGGAGTCGTTTCCGGCATCGTTACAACTTTTTACGGTCACAGCAAATCTCCTACCAGCCTTCCAAGTTGATGCAGCGATTAACAACGGAAACAGTGGCGGCCCGTTTTCATTGGAAAATCAGTGGCCGGTATAGCGTTTGAAGGGTTAGATGAATGCCAAAACATTTGGTAAAGTCTGAAATTATAGTAGTGAATTGGTTTTTTTAGTTTTGACTAAAATTTTGTGATGATATGTTTTTTGTTTTATTTGTAGGTACGTTATTCCTTCTCCTCTTCTACTACTTTTCTTAAGTAGCATTGAGAGGAATAAAGGAGTAGGTAGCTTAGAACACAATGATGAGGGATTATTTTGGCATGAAAGAAAAAATGACGGGAATTGTTGTAACAAGAGTATATAAGTTAAGTAGGCGTATCAAAACATTGATGGAGAATGATGTGCTTCTAGCGGTGAATGGAAATCCCATCCAAAATGATGGAGAAGGTAGAATTTTATATTTAACCAAAATGATGTGCTCCTTATTTAATGGGTATTATGTGTATCACACATGACTAATTTTTTTTTCTTTTTTGTTGAAGTTTCAATTGGAATAAATTTGGAAGGCTTTATCGCTCTAAAGAAACCCATGGAGAATGTGTGTTTTGATGTGTTGAGAAAAGGAGTAATCTCCCAGATGACATTGAGATTGAGCAATGTGAGTTTTTCAAACTCAAAGTCAAAACTGAATTTGCTTGGATTTTTTTATGTGTGTGTCTAACTCTTTATATATGATTATTAGATGGATATATTTTATTATGGGTTGGTGTATAATTCATTTTGTTTCAGAGACTTGATATATATATATATTGAATGTTACTTCGAATGGTGTTTACAAATAGATTAGTAGGTTACTTATTAGGGATCCGAATTATATCTAAAGGCTTAGCTTGGTTTTTCTAATATTTTTGTGCTTATATCATAATTTTCATTGGTTAAATATAAAATGCATTTAAAATTTGACTTTTTGGTGAAACGTTTTGGCTGATCTTTAGTTTATCAATCTTATACTTTTCTTTTTATATGTGTGCGTGTGTCTAACTTGTATATATGATTATTAGATGGATAATTCACAAGATGGAAGAGACTATCCTCCTCCAACCTATTTTATAGTTGGAGGTTTCGTTTTTACAAACTCCGAGGATGGCGTGAAGATTTCTCAGGTACTTTCTAAAATTTTTGTTTGACTTAATATGAGATACTAATTGTGTGTGTGTGTGTGATATGAAATACTAACTCTGTGCGTGTGGTGTAGGTGTTAGAAAATGAGGTAAACATAGGGTACACCATTTTTAGAGATTCTGTGGTTGTGATGGTTAATGGAGAAGTGGTGTACAACGTGAAAGCCATGAGGAAGATGATAGAGGAAGCAAAAAAGTGCCCAATCACCACACATGTCAGATTACTCTTGCATTGCGGTAATGCGGTGATTTTAAACTTAAAATCAGTTGAAGAAACACAAGATGACCTTTTGGGGTTTCACAAGGTGAATTCCGCTATGTCTCATGACAT